CAAGGAATTATCGCAGGGATTAATGCAGCATTGTCTGCGTCTGGCAAACAGGATAGTTTTATTCTTCATCGCACTGACTCATATATTGGGGTAATGATAGACGATTTAGTCACTAAAGGAGTGACAGAACCTTACAGGTTATTCACATCGCGTGCAGAATATAGACTGTCGATTAGATCAGACAATGCTGATAGAAGATTAACACAAAAAGGTTACGATATTTCTCTTGTTTCATATGAAAGATATTCTCTCCTGAAGGATAAACTTAATTCTATTGAACAACTTGAAGAAAAGTTAGGGAATTTAATCATTACTCCCGAGAAACTTGCATCTTATGGCATTAAGATATCTTATGATGGAATAAAAAAAACAGCACTGAATTTACTCAGTTACCCGAATATAAACTTAGATGAGTTAGGAAAAATATGGCCAGAGTTGAACATAATGCAAGGCGAATTACGTGAAATAATTGAGATTGAAGCAAAATATAGACCTTACTTAATAAGGCAAGAAGCAGATATAAAGTTTTTACAAGATGAAATCAATACTCGTATTCCTCTAGATTTTNACGGAATAAAAAAAACAGCACTGGATTTACTCAGTTACCCGAATATAAACCTAGATGAGTTAGGAAAAATATGGCCAGAGTTGAACATAATTCAAGGTGAATTGCGTGAAATAATTGAGATTGAAACAAAATATAAACCTTACTTAATAAGGCAAGAAGCAGATATGAAGTTTTTACAAGATGAAATCAATACTCGTATTCCTCTAGATTTTGATTATTCACAAATTAAAGGCTTATCAAGTGAAGTAATAGAAAAACTGCAAGCAACCAAACCTCCTACTATAGGAGTTGCAAAACAAATACAGGGCATTACTCCAGCAGCAATAGTAAGCATATTAGTATATCTTAAAAGCAAGAAAATGAGCGAAATTTTTAGATAACAAAGAAATAAAGGAGTTTATGTGCAAAGCTATTCTTAGCGCCAATTTAACAAATATATCTAAATTTCATGCTACAGTGTTAACGAGGCTTTGTGGTGGAATTAGGGTAATTGACTTGTTATTTTATAAGCCAATCAGCTATATAGATAGAAGAAAATCCTTGGTAGATGCTAAGATAGGGGAATTTACAACTTTTATTGCAAAGGTTTGTGAGCATCAGCCTCCTACTGCAAGAGGAAGGCCATATAAAGTAGTTGTTGAAAGCGAAAATAAATATGTATTTATTGTTTTTTTCAATTATTCAGTTAAGTATCTGTATAAAATATTTCCCCCTGATTTTACATTAATAATAAGTGGTAAACTTGAAGAGTTCATTGATCGACTACAGATTACCCATCCCGACCATGTATCATTTAATCTCGATCAATTTAAAGAAATTGCGTGCATAGAACCAATATATCAATTAAATCGCGGTATTACTAATAAGAGTATTAGGAACATAATACATACTTGTCTTGAAAAATTACCTGACCTTCCAGAATGGTTAAATAATAAGC